CTAAAAATTTACAGCCAGTTTTGAAAGAGATGCATCTTAGCTCTTGAAATTTTTACTGAATATGTCAATGCTGTTGTAATGAAGTGCTTCTTCTAAGTATGTGGTTATTAAATAAATAATTTTAAAAAAGATAAATATACCTATTCCCTTAAAAAAAATAAATACACTAAAAAAAATAAGATTAAAAAAAAAAGAAATATAGACTAAAGTCTGTAAACATAAGTTTTATACTATGAGCTACCTATAAAGCTAAATTATTAGCCACTTTAAAGAGGACATCCTTAATGAGTGACCACAGTTGTATCTTTTTTTAAATTCCTTCTACCATACAGTCATCATTACTGAGATAAAAAGGAATATATTTTGGGGAGATTTACCATCTAATCTTCCATTTTTTTTTTTAAACGTTGAAAGTGTTTATTTATCTACGCATCCAGAACTGGCTCCTACACTTAAATATCCAGCATGGAGGCCTTTGCCTTTCTGGTCCTGGGTGGAGGCAGGGATGGGTCCTGGAGCCTTTATCCTGGGCAGTGGAATCCGGGACTGCGGGTATGGATGCCCCTGAGCCAGCAGCTACAAGTGGCAGTAATAGATGAAAAAAGATGGGAGTTAGGCACTCATCCCAATCCCAGAGACACCAGTGAAAGTGCAAGCCATTTGGGGCCCCACAGTCAGACTGAGGGCTGGCCAAGCTAGGGTGGACACGAGGGAGAAGTGGAGGCCCAGTGCAGTGGGCAGAGGCTGCAACCTTAGCCGGTTTGCTAACTATCATATTCTCTTAGAAAAAACTCACCAGGTCTTCAATATTGCCATAGATATTCTTCTTCATGCCTGATGCTCGAGTAGATATCCATCCTCCCACAGTGCTGAATTCCAGGGAATCTGGCTCATGACCTGTACAATAACCACTTTCTTTAAGCTGAAAAGCAAAAAATGTAGCATTTTTTTACTAGTGACAATGGTCCCAGTTCAACACAGTTCTCAACACATTAACTCCTTCAACTTTAAACTTTTCAGTGTTATTGGTATTTTTGACACATTAAAACCTATAGAGAAAAAAATATTTTTATCATACTAGTCTTAAAAAAATTTACGATTTTGCCTATTGGAAAACCTTCATAAAACTGGAAAGTGTAGACCAAAAGAAAATTGCATTTCCCACAGTTTTAATAGACAACCTTACTTTGTTTTAAAATAAGCTATCCCCTCTTCATGTCCCCGCTCTATGAAGAAACACTTTAAATACTTAAGGGAATCTGATTATGTTTAAGTAACTGCCAACTTCACCTAAAGACGTTCAATAAATAAAGTACTTAATCTCTTGTTTTCCCTATCCTAATATGCAGCAGGCTTGGAGAAAATCTGAGTGAACTGCATGTACGTAATTCTCCCAAGGAGTCGTTTGTTTTAACGTACAGCCATCTGGCTAGGTTTCCCAATTATAATACTGTCATTTACTTGTGATGTGGATCATCCATTCCTGTACATTAAATAGTCACTTATTTCTCATTTTTCTATATTAGCTTGGTTTCAGCATCTGTACAGCACCTGAGGTTGAATGGATGCCCTTTACTGCAACACCACCAAAGCCATTCTGCTGAAATCATCTTAAGTCTCAGTCACCTCCTGTTGAATGGTATAGACATTGCCATCTGTATAACCACTGTCAGCTGCACTCAAGCCCATCAATCTGTGTTGGCCATTTTGATAGTCACCCAGTGAAACAACTGCTTCTATTTTTCAAGTAAGCCATGTAGAGTTGTAGAATATGTAAGGTATTTTGCATCTGTATATTTAAGTATAAATATGTAATGAAAGTTGAAATCCAAACTTTATAAGCCCACTAGGTAAATATAATTTGTTAACTTTTACAAACCAGCATTGCAAATCATTATTTTTTCTGATTTTGCTTCTATTTGAAAAAATGTCAATAGTTAGTGTTTTCACTAAATATTCAACATATTTATGTTTTATATTTAAGAGGTTGAAAACCAATCACAAATAAATGAGGTTAAAATTAAGACTATCAGGCTATTAGATTTCTGTTTTAGCTCTACCCTTAAGCAATCTATACTGACATTATTTTCTCAATTTTATGAAATTAGAACAAAAAGTCATGAAGCCCTAAGATATGTTAGCAACTAAACAGTGCTTGGGGAGGGGGCATTTGTTAAGTTGTTTTGGGCTTTTCAAGTATTTTATATATTACTTTTATTTTATGTATACTGCCTGCATGTATTGTAAGTGCAACAGTGTCATGCAATGCCCATGGAGGTCAGAAGAGGGCATCGGATACCCTGGAACTGGAGTTACAGACAGTTAGTCGCCGTGTGGGTGCGGGTACTTGAACCTGGGTCCTCTGCAAGAGTAGTCAGTGCTCTTAACCACTGAGCCATCTCTCTAGCCCCCCCTTTTTTTAAAATTTTAAGACAAGGTCTCGCTATATAGCTCAAACTATCCTCAAACTCACTATTTAATCACACTGGCCTAGAACTCACACACTTCCTGCCTTAGCCTCACCAAATTTCTGGGATTAAAATACTCTCTTTTAGAGAAATAGATCAATAATGTCTCTTATACCTGGCATAGTGTTTCATTACTTTCTCCAATTATGATTATCTACTATGTCCAAGAATTGTATAAAGCAATAAACATAAGGATTTCTTTTTTTAAGAAAAAACAAAACAAACTTCATATGTTGAGGAAGTTTGACCCTGCAAACTAATTTTCAAATCTACTTCCTTGTTAAATTATCTCATTAACTTCCTTCTGGTAAGTGAATTATACCTGGGTTTGGGTTTATCATTCACTACAGCTATGAAAATTTATATCCTACAGCATGTTAATTTAATAAGAAACAATTGCTGAAACACAGTAATGCTCAGTTCCTCCTTTGTAAGTCTACATCTTTGTTAATGTCATAAGCCACAAAGAAAAATTTATTTAGAAAGGTCTAGATGTACTCATAAACTTAACTAAATATTCTTTAAAATAAAACAACCTCTCTGTCTCCTGCCACATTAGATCAAAATAATGTGCCTGAAGTTCTATGGAAATAGTGACTTTATCTCCCTCAATTCTGGGCCTCAATCAACACACAAACTACAAATAGACTCTATGTGCTGAGCTCCAAATACATCACCAAAACAGAAACAAATCCTAAACTTTAGAAACTGTATGTACTCCCTTCTTACCTACAAAGTAGGTAAGAAGTCCAGTAAATGTTTTAAATGTGAACAGCATTAAGCCCGCTACAGGCAGCATTTTATGACTTTTCTTCAGCATATCTGAAGAGAACACCAATGCTCTTGTCCCCATAGTTCAGAATCTATTCTAAAGATATATACACTAAACACTAAAAACAGGAAAGAAAAAACATTATAGCTAATAAACAAAGGAGATAACAGATAGCATTAGAGATTAACCTGAAAAGAGACAGTAAAAGAGGAAAAAAAGAATGAAAACCAGATGGAGAATGCAGGTAACGAACACAGGCTGAGGACTCCTTAACTAGACTGCTTGAGACCAGAAGCATTTGGATTTCAGATTACAGAATATTTGCCACTCATAATAAGCTATCTTGAATTGGAACTAAATCTAAACACAAATTCATTATATTTCATATGTATCTTAAACACACAGTTATAAAGTAATTTTATTTTATTTTTTTTAAAAAAAGGGACTTGCCACACAAATCTGATGACCTGAACTTGATCCCTGAACCCATGTAAATGTGAAAGAGATGTGATTCCAACAAAGTTGTTCTGACCTCTCACTCACCATGGCACATGTGTGCCTACTCACACATCATACACACATGCACACATACAATATAAAGTTCTAAATTTTTTTAAAGAAGGGCTTTTTAAACATACAGGAACTGTCTAAAAGCAAAACAACAAAAGATCCACCAGGCTGAGAGTAATCAAGAGAACTGCAATGGCTACTTTAATATCAAAATTGATTTCAGAGCAAAGAATGCTATTATTTTTATCAAGAATAAAAAGGTCATTTCACTAATCAAGAAGACCCAATAATTCTGAATATTTATTCCTCTAATGAGTCTTAAAATACAGCAAAAACTGATCAACAGCAAAAAAAAAAATTACAAATCTGTAATTTTAACTGTGGCTTTCAATGCTTCCCTCTCAATAACTAATAGAAGTAGACAGAAAATAATAATAATAAAAAGTCCTGATCAATATTATAAAGCTCAGTCATTCTGTGATATTTTTAAGACTTCACCATTGCACAGCAAAAGGTACATTCTTGAGGCTGGAAAGATGGCTCAGAAGATTCCACTCACTATCACCCCTGGTGACCCACTGGGAAAATTTTTGCTTCCTGTACCCTCGACTTTGCACTCTACTGGCTTGGATGTTTTGGTTCCAGAGGAAGGAGTGCTTCTGCCAGGAGAGACAACAAACATTCCGATGAACTGGAAGCTAAGACTTCCCTATGGACACTTTGGGCTTCTGATGCCCTTAAGACAACAGGCTAAGAAAGGAATAGCAGTTTTAGGAGGGGTGATTGACCCAGACTACCAGGGGGAAATTGGACTGGTTCTCCACAATGGAGGTAATGAAGATTATATCTGGGAGGCAGGAGATTCCTTAGGGAAACTTTTGGTGTTACCATGTCCTGTGATTAAGGTCAATGGGAAACTGCAACAACCCAATCCAGACAGGAAAACAAATGACCCAGACCATTCAGGG